TAGGATGCATGATTCGCTGACCGGGATTTTGGCGCTCCTTTTATCTTTCAATTAAACATCTTTCTGTATGCCCGAAGTATCTCTTACCGCGAGTAAAGGGAATATTGTACATGAATTCGTTATTACATCCAATAAACATTCAAATGTGATCGATACCGCAAATGTCGCAGTAAGAATTGCTGAATCAACCGAAATTCTTACTTTGACATTTACTCTGACAGGAGGTAATGACAAAGCAGCAAGAAGTTAGATCCGTTCGCCAGCGCACGTTATCACCTTGAGGGCTTTCCTTGCTTTCTTTTTTTTTTTTCGAGAGCGCGGCTTACTGTCAGTCTGAACGCAAAAACACGTGCGACATGTAGCGACATACCGTGGCGTACCGCGTTGATCAAACAGCTTAATATGCCCAAATCTGCCAATAGTCATAGTATTAGTGTTTATGGCATCGTTGTTTCGGGTTTAGGGCATCGTTTTTCAATAGAAGAGCGAGCTATTTTAGCCGATATTGAGATTTGTAAATTTGAGGCTGTGCACTGCTCTATAATGTTTGGCTCGCGTACTCTCGGGGGCCTCGGCTACAATGGGATGTGGAATATGGTCATACTGAAAGAGCGAATAAGTGTTTTAGGACACCTTGAAGAACGTTGTAACCCCTTTTCCGTTTTCCTATGCTCCTGTGTAAGTGTGTATACGCATATTGATGCGAGTTCAACAAGATAATAAGTGATAGTTGTTTCTTCGTCTTTTTCAGTGTGCTTTTGCTGTTTTTTTTTGCCCAGTTCTTTTTTCTTCTATTATCAAGCATGAGCAATCAGCCTCAAGTAGAACCTGCAAAATGGCAAGCATTGTCAGTGGTAAAGTGCTTACCTTCCAGTTATCCCCAGTGGCAGGCGCGCACGTTCGCAATGGTGCTGAATCGAATACGCGTGCCTGTCAATTGTGATTACTTGAGAGCGTGCATCACACCATTGTGAATACTTGGCGCTGTTCGGGTTTCATTCTACACCCATAGTACTTACCACCACGTGCTGGCACGTTACTGCAGGATGCGCTGTAGCAGCGCTATCCGCCACAGTTGCGTTGTGGTTACGGTGTTCGGCTGCTGATCAGAAGGTTGCGTGTTCGATCCCGGCCACGGTGGTATCATTTCCATGGTGGCAAAATGGCAGAGGTCCATGTATTCGGTGACGTCATTGGACGTTAAAGAACTACAGGTAGCATAAGTTTCTGGAGCCCTCCACTACGACGTGCCTCATTGTGATATCCTACTTTGAGTGTGTAAGACCCCTGATATTATTATGTCGAGCCTCAAAGGAGCTTGTGTGTTTAAGCGGCAAACTCTACTGAGTATTTTCAAAACGAGTGACTTAACAGCACGGTACGACTATTACGGACGCCACAGTGGGGGGTTCCGAAAATTTCAGCCGACATGTGCTGGCATTGCGCAGTACACGCAGCTCTACCGTTTTTCCTCCGCTGAAATACGACTACCGCGGCCGTAACCGAACCCAGGACCTTCAGATGAGCAGCCGAGCCCCGTAACCATTGATACACCCTGTGGAAAATGTTGTGGAAAGAACCAGACAGTAAATATCACCCTATGGCTGTAGCGCCCACTCAGGCTATTTCGCTAGAAAACTCATTTTCAAGAATCTGTTGAACGCAGTGGTGAGGCATGAATTTTCTGTATAAAATATTTTCAGACGTTGGAAAGAAAATTTCCCGCACTCAATATTCATATATTCACACCAGAATGAATACTTTGCTGCCTCAATGTGCTGAATGAGAATCAAATCAATTTGCTGACGTCGAGAAACGGCGTTTCCTGAACTAGTGATAGTAGCAGCTGAAACGTATGTTTTCCTAGCCTAAATCGCTTCGCACGAGTTTTCAGGATCCCCTGTTTGCATTAGTTTCCGAAGTAGCATTCGTTCTCAAAACAGGGGGAGAGGAATTTCTTTTTGTTTTCTTTAGTGTTCAGTGAGCGTGCCGTCAGTTGTGTTCTGCGAAGTGTGTAAGCGTGTTGTAAGGCGCAGATGTGGGCATTGGTTCATTCGTTGCATCAATATCCATGAGGAGCAAAGCGTTGGCTAGGAGAGCATGATTCATTGCCTAAGTGGCTAACGCTGATACTTCTAGCAGAACTTGTTTGATTGATTGATATGTGGGACTTAACGCCCCAAAACCACCATATGATTATGAGAGATGCCGTAGTGGAGAGCTCTGGAAAGTTCGACCACCTGGGGTTCTTTAACGTGCATCCAAATCTGAGCGCGCGAGCCTACAGCATTGTCGCCTCTATCTAAAATGCAGCTGCCATGGCCTGGATTTGATCCCGTGACCTGTGGGCCAGCAGCCGAGTACCTTAGCCACTAGACCACTGCGGAAAGGCAGCAGGACTTCTTTGTCGAGGCCTAAGCTGCCGCTTACGGGCGGCTGGTCAACGTACCTCACCGCAAGACCAGCTCTTTGGCAGAATAGCATATATGTAGCATGTATTTTATCTCAGCAATACCACGCTGCGTGGGGAAAGCTGGCTACTAGAAAGTCACCTAAAGTTGAGCGTCAAGGTCATAACATTGTTTTTGAAAAATTACAGCTCCTCGTGGACTTTGCCTGTTGTAGGCGGCCGCAGAAGTTGTCATCGCTGACATGTGTCATCGCTTAACACCGTTCTGAATCCAAGACATTACTGTAAGGCTAAAATGGGTCTGGTTTTTGCAACCCTGCACGGTTTAAAGAGGCGAGGTATAAACATACCAACAGCGATGCGGCACCATTCCGGTGCTGCTTCCATGCCCGTTCGGTGACCTTTTAGCCTACTACAAGCATTTCTTTTTCTCTGTTTTTTTCGTCTATTTTCAACTTTTTGCCAGTCTTTTTTTAATTTTATAATGCCACACCAGGGGCGTACTTTTTCAGGTTGCGACGGCAAAGGACACACTCAGTAGCTGATAGCCAGCCTGTAAGAAGGCTGGCTTTATGGCATCGCGAAAGACGCCATCCCGAATGTTGCTAAGTATTTTGAGCCATTTCCCACGTAAACGCGATGTACAATAGAGCTACTTCCTTCCCCCTTAGCTTTCTTGCGCACACCGTTAAATCTTGTTTTGTGCACTCAAGGGACTCCATCGTATGCGCCCGAACGTGCCCGACGAGTGCTTATTTTATGGCGCCGGTATACGTAGAATAAAGAATGTCGCAGTTCAGTGACCGTTATCGGCGCTGCGCGTAATTTCGCGTGCTATAACTGCAGACCCATGAATAAAATTTAGTTCGCACCCCGGTGTCCAGACTGGACGCATCCTTATCGCTATTGTTATTTATTACATGGGCCCAGCACTATCCGACCTCTTGGCGCCATAGTTCATTTCACACATCCTCAAGTTGCTTGCTTCTGATGTGTTTTCCGCACACAACTACTTTCGTATAGTGCGTAAAAGCACAAAAGTTTGCACCTGCAGGTTCAATACCCTGCTTTTACAGCTATTTTAGTGCGAACGTATTTTAGCCCACCTATCGAGATATCGCGGATTTCAGCAAAGAACACGAGGCGTCAGCTAGACTCAGTGTGGGAAATTAGTCTGGTCACATGTTCCTCGGCTTCACAGCGCTTGTATCAGTGTCGCTAACCAATTTTTTGGAAAATATTCTACGCCATAGTAAAACTTACCCTACTTTAACCTATACATTTCTTTGCTGCCTTACATTTTGCCCTACACCCAAAATAGCGCATCCCATATAACAGTTTTCTGCTGCGGTGGTCTAGTGGCTAAGGCACTCGGCTGCTCACCCGCGGGTCGCGGGATTTATCCCGGCGGCGGGGCTTCATTTCAGATGGAGGCAGAAATGCTGTGGGCCCGTGTGCTCAGATTTGGGTGCATGTTAAAAAACTCCAGGTGGTCGAAATTTCGGGAGCCCTCCGCTACGGCATATCTCATCATATGGTGGTTTTGGGGCTTTAAATCCCACATATCAACTAATTATCAATGCCATGTAACAGTGATGAGGTACCTATTACACTTCACTGTACGACATGCAGACGTGCCGGGGCGCTGAAGTTGGTTCACACTTTAATATCTGTTTGAAGATTGGTTTCAAATAGAAGATAGGGGATATGAAGGACCGCATACAGGGAGAGAAGGCAATCCCAGTATTGGCGTGGGACGATTGTTTCCTCCGAGCGGAGAAAAACGACTGGAAAGCTAATTGGTAAGTATACGGCTGGCAGTGCGATATGGAAACAAAAAAATTTAAAGGAACTCCAGCAATCCTCTTCAGTGTGCTTCACCGCATAAAGACTATTATTGCGAAAAAGCCATGTTCAGCGAGCACACGTCGAAGCCTAAGTTGAGCGAAGTGGTTTTTGTTAAACAAGGAAACCATAATCTACCACAGTTGATCGACGCCGCAGGGAAGATGGTGGGAGAACAGAAGAATAGAAAATAGACTACACTTGGGCTAACTTGAATAATGAATGTTCACATTCCTGCGACAGCGATTGAACAAATGGGGAAATGCCAACGTTTACCACATTCGAAGCGCCAAAGAGAAAGCCTTTTTTTATTAACTCATTGTTCGAGATAACTGTTTGCATCTTCCCTGTGGGTCGGCTTGGTGAAAGGGCACTATATTCTGGTCGGCTGATTGATTGATTGATATATTAATTTATTGGTTGCTTGACTGATTGTTTGTTTTATTGATTGATTGATTTGTGAGATAATGAGTGAGTTAGTGAGTTCATGGATTCAATGCAATTCATTGGCTATGTAAGGCATGTCATACGGGGGCGTGTGACATCTCAAGTTCTTAAACTTGCATCTATTTATCGCAGAGTTTCGCCTTGTATCTCGGGTGAAACGTGCTGTGGTGCGATTCTTTACCTAGCACTTGAAGTAGAGCATTGTCCTAGTGATTCTCTGCTTGCCGTGTCATGCAAAGTCTTGATCATAGGGACAAAAGTGAGTCAGGTTAGCGGACATTTATTCTTATCCATGCAGCAGCGAACGATATGTGCCCCAACCGGCGGAGGGCCGAGCAGCCTGGCGGTGGCCGCGGCGGCAGCGTCAGGCCCGTCTCCTCGCACTTCGCGACGCCGACGGGCTCCGTCGCGGCTCTCCACAGAACTGCCGGCAGGAGTGACGCTGGGCCGACGCAGGGCGGTCACCACCACGGACCACAAGACCTGCGCACTGCTGCATACCAGGCTCAAGGGGATTCGTCTCGAGGACATTGCGTGAGTGGAACGTGTGTTGTTACTCCGTCGTATTCCCGCCCAACGGCCATGCTGCATACGAAAGTACTCTCCCTTTGACCGGTTCCTTATTTAACAGCCTGCTTCTGTGGATTCCTTGTGAGATTTATGCTAAGCTTGTGGATCTGCTACTGTCGGAAGTTATAGCCGCTAGTCATTAGCATAAAAGCATGTTTTACTTCTATCAAAACAGATAATGGTAGATCACCGCTACTCGGATTACACTGTTCAGTGAAGCGCACGCGTGAAAAAAAGTACGTCATACATTAGTGTTCTGCGGGCTCGAAATCACTACTCATTAAGTTTGTACTGATTGAAAATGTCCAAATACAATACTAAAAATGTGGCGAGTTTTCGAACTCTCAATATCAATGTGTGGTGCCGCAAAAACAGTCGAGTGCTTCGAGGGTTCTATGTGGTTGGGTGGAGTCCACCATCCGGGTGTCTACCTTTGGAACAGAAGTCCCCTAGGCTTGTTCTGCGGGCTGGAACTTCTGCTTGAACTCTTGTGCGGCAAACACTAATTGGCGTAGAGGACGCTCGCCTGCTGCTGGACCCAGGATGATCCTAAGCTTGCGAGTATTCTCGGCTCCCGGTGACAATATCTAGAAAAAGCATCATAAAATATATCTGTAGCTGGCACCCAAGCGATCACGTACACGGATGGCAATTAGTCGAAAAGAACGACTGGAGTCTTCGTTGCTTGCAGAGATGTTGCTGTTGTTTATGGGCGCTAGTGCTCCCAACCACTTGATGTCTTCCGCGGCTGACTCAAACTTTCAGCGGCAGGGATCATCTTAGAATGAGCCTCGTATCGTCCAAGTGGTTGTTGTACTGTTAGATACATGGCTGGATTACTGATCACTATTTATTCGGGTCAGTGAGCGGGGAAACAACGTTTACCCGCCTCTATGTCAGTCTGGAACAGTTTTCACAACTTTATTCGTAAAGTATGTAGCACTGCTGAGTATGTACACTCCCTCTCATCAGGCGATTAGAGACGTGAGCTGCCATCTCAACAGTGATGCGAGTGCGTGCGCGCTTTCATATATGCTGTCTTGAAGTTCGTCTCGAATATGGCGATGCCTGATCGTGGGAGCATCCCCATGGTGCGCATACCAGCCTTGTATATCACTGTCGAAATGACTGATCTAAGAGCCAATACTTCCGTTGTATCAATACAGGGCAATACTTGGTATGTTTCCACAAACAAAAAAAAAACACGTTTAAATTCAGCTTTTGCTAGTGCGCTAGACAATGATGGAATCCTGTGAAATGTCATATGGTTCAATAACTGCGCGACCAAACCTTTTTGCTTGTAAAACTGCCAAACAAAGCAGTCTTTGTTTCGAAAAATATCACTAATGCACCTATAGAATAATTTGGCCGTTACTATAAAAATTTTTCATTTGACCTGACGATATTTTGTTCATAAAAGAGTAGGCACAATTCAGCAATCATTTTCATTACTACCACAAAAGGAAGTTTCCATCTATAAAGCTATAGAAGCCTGTTGAACAGTACCGAAATAAAAAAATTCTTTCAAGGTAACTATGACGTGTGTTTCACTTAAGCATTACTCTAAGAGGCTATTCTAGGTTGGAGGACTACCATTTGCACTAGCCTCCTCCAATTTCCATTCTTTCGCACCTTTTCGTTTAAAAGGAAAAATAGTTTTTACCTACCTATTAGCTGGTGTAAGTAGGGCCAGTACCTACAGACTTATTCCACGTTTGTAAAAGATGTAGGCACCGTCGCCATACTGAGGAACGTGTAGCGATGTCGTGTCACGTAGGCTGCACTCAGCCCAAAGCTTGCCACCACCCTATATGAACATGAGACAACTGTTACAGCTGCTTGCAAAGCTGCCTACGAGCACAGTGCGTCAGGGTACCCTCGCGCTAACCATGGAATAGGTCTGTAGACTTCTGGCACATTGCAATTCATGCTTCCTGGTTCGATCACATACTTTTTGTGTGTGAGTGAATTTTCGACGCACACGTCAGGTTTTGATTCTTTTGATGACAAGAACGATAAAAAATAGCACATTATTCAAACAGGCGCAGAAAAAGCAAGGGAGCACCGACACAAGTGCCATATTTGTGGCATCTGTGCTAGTCTCCCAATTCATAAGCGGTATTATTTTGTGGGCTATTTTCTTTCGCAAATTCCCCAAGATAAGATAGTACGATTATTACTCTTTTGTCACTTGAAAACATACAAAAAGTTATATTGTCACTATATAAGAAGGAGGAGGAAACGGTTATATAAGCTTTTACGTGAATGGGCTGTTTGATTGGCTGGGCCTAGGCCTTCAAGGAGTGGACGTTGAGGTCTGGCCTGTTCGCTGCCTCATGGACTTTCTGCGTAGCCCATTTCTGCTGATCGTCCAGGTGGGAACTAAGCATGACGGCGCGCCATCGGGACGAGAGGCTCTTGGTATTAAGTTTGATATTGGACCTGAAATGTCTACACCACACCGCAAGCCAGCGCTGCCCAGGTGGTGCGCTTAAAATTTACGCATGTGCCGCCCTGGCGAGCTGGCTGAGGTCTAGCTAGCAGGACAAAGCCACCACGAGGTGTACTACGAGCACCTTTTAACGTGCCCTCGTACACGTCTCACGGGCCGAAACGTATGATAGGCGTCTTGCGGCACTACCCCCCCCCCCCCCCCGCTTTTTGCCCAACGTGCGTTGTGTTGTAGGTACGTCGGAATTTCCAAGACTAGCGAAGATTTTTACACAACGCTAAACACTGCGACGCAGCGAGCAAGCAGTGATGCCAGCGATCATTTTTCACTATGATTTCAGCGATGAAGTGTGCGCAGTCGAATACCTTCGTGAGACTGTGTTGTCGAATCGATGGACGCTGTCCGATAATTGGCACGTCTATCACGTGGAAGGAACAGTATGACCTTTCGGCGTAGTGCCAAGCATTGTATGGTGTAAATTTAAAGGTAACTGGGTTCAAATGGCGTTTCCGAAGATGGGCGTAGTGTGTATATTATTCGTCATCTGTCCGCTTTGAAGTAAAATTAGTAATGTCTCAGGCAGTACTATGTTAGCAGTCTACCAAGTGACGACTATTTTGAGCGAGAACCTATCTTTTACGTAGTTGGCAGTGCAGCTATTGCACTACATATTACAGAAGCTGTTTGCTACCAACTTTCCATTGCGGTGTGTTCAATGGCTTGCGTGAACCCACAAAGCACTCGTATCGTAGTCTTCAAAATAGGCTTTTGAAGCTGACCGTGATTTTGTGAAATGAATGTCTAAAGCAACCTCCACACGAAAAGCCAGTGTAAAGTGGAGATTCGTGGTATTAGTGGAAATGCAAACGTGTCACAGTAGGCGGGCAATGCAGGGGTCCTGAAGCCCTTTTCATGTAACCATTATTCACCAAAAGAGCTTATTGTTCTACACATTCGCCGCCACAAAAATTTTAAGAATCCGTCCAATACGAACGGAGTCACAAAGGTGTGTCGGACGCTGCAATCGCATTTTCTCTTCTCTCGTCTCGACGAAAGCGCTAGAAGCTAAGCAGAGAGGGATAGCAGGAGAAAAAAAAAAACGCCATGTGGCCCTCGTGACCTTGAGCACTTGTTTTCAAGTACGCGACTTTTTTAGCGTGATCGCGCGCGTGAGTGTGGACAATTCATGGTCTCTTACTGCGATCGCTGTAATGACCGAGCACGCCATGCTCAAATCAGCCAATGGCTGATAGGTGGCCTTCCACGAGTGATGTTTGAGCGTCTTCGGCCATTTGTCGACAAAAGAAAGTAAAGCTTCTTAGTTGCAGAAAACTTTGGCCTGGTTCGTGGTTCGAACCCGAGCCAAACACCTTTCCGGGGTGGTCGTTCTACCAAACTCATCAGGAAGTTGACAATTGACAGCGCGAGGCTGAAGAAGCTTTTTTTTTTTGAGTAATCTGTACGGATTTCCTTGTGGCTCCGTGCTACAAAAGTATGATTGTCATTTTTTGCCCTTGTTAACACGCGTAACATAGATAACTTCATTTCTTTAGTGGCTACATATGCTACTGCGTAAAACTATAATCGATAAAAAAGCACTTATGCTTTCGTTCGTGGTAACATCATATGACTAACTTGATTGGGATGGCTTTCCCGGTTTTCTTGGTTTGTGTGACCAAGTTGCGTGGTTTTATTTGCGTTGGCAAATCACCGCCATTGACGTGTAATGGTGGCAGTTAAGGCTAGCTTTATTCTATTATGTCACGAGGGTGAAAAGACCAGCTGAGAACAACAAGATAGTAAACTTTGCGCATTTTGCTGCAAACGTGGAGCTGCCGTCTGAATTTCCTTGATTGATTTATATGAGGTGTTTAACATCCTATAAGCACCATATGATTATTAGAGACACCATATCGAAGTGCTCAGGAAATTTTGACCACCTGGGGATATTTACCGTCAACCCAAACTTGAGCACACGGGCCAACAGCATTTTCGCCTCCACCAAAAATGCAGCCGCCACAGCCGGGATTCGATCCCGCGACCTGCGGGTCAGCAGCCGAGTACCTTAGCCACTATAGACCACCACAGTGGGGCCTGTGTCTCCTCCGTTACCACCTTCTTATCCGCAACTGAATCTCAACTAAACTAGTTCGGCTCGTTTATTTTTATAATTGCCTAATTATTTTTTCATATTTTGTTCATTTTTTGCCACATTTTTACGTGTATACCTTAGAGAAATAGAATAACCCAGGTGCTACTTACCTCGTCCTCATCACATCAACTCATGTATACATATAGAGAGAAATACGGATGCGAAGATTATGAATGTCAAGTAATGACAATATATTAAATGCAGAGATATATAGTGTTTTATTAAAAGCAGCATAGCAAGAAAGCACTAAAAAACTAGCCCTTCAAACGTACGAAACTATGTCCGTACCTTCGAAGAATGGCAGTTTTATTCTGTCTTTATTGTTGGTAAAGTTGCAGCTGACTTTTACTCTCCGTAGCACACCCTTCCAGGGCCTGTTGAGCGATATTGCAAGTGTACAGTCGTTTGTTCGTGTATAAATGACAGTGGCGTGTTTGAAACAGGCACACAACGGCACGTATGGCAGCGTATAGTCCAAACTCTCGCTTTTTGGTAGCGGACATTTTTAATGTGTTCCCGGTGGCGCTTCTACATAACTGCTCATGATAAACTGAAGCAAATCTGCCATCAAACGTAAGAACTCAAGCGGTATTAGGAGTTAAAATGCTACGTCGGTTGCGCATGCACGCGCTGAAGTGTGTGTAAAATTCTTTTTCTGCGTGATACGCAGGTCAGAAAGGCAGCTACTTCCCTTGACCAGCTTAGACAACATACTAGCAATATCCG